TGGTAAGCTAGCAGGGATCTGGGTGGGAACGCAGCTTGCCGCTCCTTTTACTACACACACACACACACACACACACACACAAATATATATATATATATAAATATATATATATTAAACAGAGGTAGAAGCATGCATGCATAAAACATTCAATATAATTTAACTTTGTATCAATATACAAGAATTTATAACAATGTAATTGTCTGTAAATAATAACTCACAAATACCAATGTATTATCCCATCTAATTTTCCATCTTTTTTTTAAAAAATAAAGACACCTGAGTTTATAAAATTCCTCTACCAACCATCAACCATATACCAATTATAATCAACCCCTAAATGATGTCCCTAAGCCTGAAGAAAAACTTTGCTGGGAGACAGGACATTGTCTTCTGGTGTGGGATCATTGTCTGTAGTCTGTCATTCATGTTTTAAATAAATGTTGATTGGCCAGGTAGGAAGTATAGGTGGGTCAAAGAGACAGGAATTAGAGGCAAGGTGATGAGAACAGGAGTATGCTGGGAAGAAGGAAGCTCTTCCTACACTCCTGCACAGATCACCGAAGGAGCAGGATGTAATCTGCCTGGCTGAGAAAGGAACGGAGCCATGTGGCTAACATAGATAAGAACAATGGGTTAATATAAGCTACAAGAGTTAACAAGAAGCCTAAGCTAATGGGCCAATCAATTTATAGCTAATGCAGACTCTCTGTGTGATTTTCTTTGGGGTTTGCCAGCTGTGGGGTACTGGGCAGGACAGAAACCCCAACAAGCCGGCCCTGCATGTTACAGTCTTCTAGAAATACATCCAGCTGTCTTGGGGTGACATTCTTTCTAAAGGATCCTGTGAAAGTAAAATGATGGTTAAATTTCAAGATTAATTTCTGGTAAGATTGCAAATAATCTCCGAGTATTTTGTTGAGATCTGGTCAGAACATTGTAAAAGATGTGCGCCATTTCAGCTAACCAAGTTGGAACCATCTTGTGCAGATAGTACCCAAAACAGATCTTTTAGTAGCTCTATCAGTATCATGACATCATTTCAACGAGGTGGAGTTGTTGCTGTGGGGCCCCATCTTCTTCCTGGAAACTTCAAAGATTACTGAAGAAAAATCCATTGTTCATTGTGGAAAACTTAAGCATTATTTATATAGACATATACAGACATATATATTCAATGGAAGGTATTATAAAGACAAAAATAGATATGAATAAAAGTAAAGATTCTTTTGAGATTCTTTTTTCTTTCTATCACATATCATGGACCCTGACATAAAACAGAAACTCTCAGTTTTTATCATAATAACAGGCTTGGAATTAGAGAAAAACTGAGCCAGAGTCCAACTCCAAAACCAGCTCTACATACTTATGAATATAAATATACACATGTATATTTTTTAAACTTTTTTTTACTTACAGAACATATTTGATTTTCTTGTTGATCCTTATTGAGTAGTAATTTTTTCCATCTGTTAGTATTCAAACATCCAAAGTCCCTTGAATTTTTTGAAGATGAGTGTTTTCCTGCAAAAATAAGAATAGAACCCTGCCCCAATCACATATGTTTTTCTTACCACCTGTATGTTTATCATCGTTGTAGATGAGCTGTCATGTCTCTTTTCCAAGAGGTTTCTCCTCTCCAAGCCGAACTTTTTATTAATTTTGATGTTATCCACAATTTTTCTTCTCCTGTGGTAACAAAAGCAAAACTCTTTCCCCAATGCAGAACATCTCCTGGATTCCATTGCGAGGTCAGCACATCCTTGAAATAAACCAGTTTGTAACATGGGGGCCTGCTCATTAGGGTTTCTGTCCCACCCAGTCTCCCAGCTGTTTAATTCCAGAGAATATCACACAAAGAACCTGTATTAATTACAGTTGATTTAGTTCAGCAGACTTTTTCATTTTTCAATGTTTTTTCTGCTGCTGTTGTCCCTTTCTCATTAGTGTTAAGAAAGTTCAAGGTTAATAAGGCATTATGTAATCTTTTTCTGGGGTCATTTTCCACCCCTTCTGTTTGTTTAACATATCCTTTATAGTTTGATTTGATCTTTCTATAACTGCTTGGCCTGTAGTATTATGTGGTATGCCAGTAACATGCTTAATATTATAATAAGTTGCTAAGCATTTTAAAAGCTCTTCTAGACAGTAAAGAATTACAGATTCACAATAGGACAGATTCAGACATAAATAACCTCTAAATGAGTCACAGTGTTAGATAAATGTATGTAGGCTTAAGAGAGAAAAGATAAAGAGTATAGAGAGTCATAAAATAAAGTTAATGCTTTAAAAATGGTAAAGTTTTTAAAGAAACAGAGTACAGATAGTCATAGACTAAAAGAAGTAAAGGAAAATAAGCCATGGAAAAATGGAAAATTCACAGCCTTGATTATGTATATTATTGTTTTATTTTCAATTTTTTTGACTGTGAAGGAGCTAAGTACAGAAAGATTATATGGGCTGCTAAGCTAATCCAGCATGTATATTAAAAAGGAAATATGACTCAGAATTTGGGTCTAAGTATATGATGCTTTGGAAAAGAGGTTCTTTTGTTTTCAAAGAAATTGAAAACCTGTGGATTGCCTGCAGGCGAATATGGTTTTATGGACCAAGGCCTCCTGAAAGGTCACTGTAAACACCCCCAAAAAGTTACTTCACCTAACTGGTGACTGAGATGAACCTAGCACATAGGATGCACCATGAAAGACCTGATTAACAGCATTTCCATACACCAGGAAAAAGTTTGGAGAAAAATAACTATGCCCATATTCTTAAATATTGTTTATAAATGTTCTTTTACATTTAAAGGGGGATATGATATAAATATGAATAATTTGCATTGGTATGGATCTTGGATTATTAATACAAATTTAAGGTCAATCTTGTTATATGTATTTCTGATCTTGATTAAGGTATTGTGATTGTGTAGCTCATTTGAAAATGTAATGTATAATTAAGAAATATAGGTTAATAGATAATCTCTATAATAGTCAAGTTTGTAGTCATATTAGTTAGAATTTCTAGATGTGCATTTCAGATGGATAGGGGTTCTTTATTTATTTATTTATTTATTTTTATTTATTTTATTTATTTATTTATTTATTTTTTTTTTGGTTTTTCGAGACAGAGTTTCTCTGTGGTTTTGGAGCCTGTCCTGGAACTAGCTCTTGTAGACCAGGCTGGTCTCGAACTCACAGAGATCCGCCTACCTCTGCCTCCCAAGTGCTGGGATTAAAGGCATGCGCCACCACTGCCTAGCCTGGATAGGGGTTCTTAATATCTTTCAAAGACTACAGAATATGGCGTTTAAAATGTTTTAATAACTAAAGACTCTTCATGACAATGAGATATGTATGCTCCTGGCAGGACTAGCAACTTCAAGAGGAAGATGGGCATTGAAGAGGCTCCTTATGAAATTTGATAGCCATTTGGGCAAAAAACTGCTCTTGCCTAGATTGCTTCACTGAACATGCAGTACCCACAGAGAGATGACTGCTGAACTTTCCTAAAGGTGAGATGTTTCTTTTGGATTCCTGCTTCATGAAAGAGTCTGCAAGATGTTCTGCTGGATACAGAAGAACATGACTAAACTGTCTTTGAATTTTCCTGCTTCATGAAAAAGTCTGCTGGAAATTATGAACCTGTAGGCTGAAGATGGATGCCTCAATTGTACAGAAGAACTTTGGGCGACTAAAGTTTTGGAAGTTGTTTATAATGCATTTCCAATTTACATAGGTAATATTATATCCTTCTAAAGTCTCTGACAGAGTTAAAAAATAGATAGATAGTTATAGTTTTCCTTTGTTATGATAATAAATAAAAATAGATATAAATATTCTAACTGTAATTCTTGCTTGATAACTGTTTTGTTATATGTAATTTTACTATATTAAAGTTAAAGTCTTCCTTTTTGTTTAAACCGAAAAGGGGAAATGGTGTAGGAGTTCCTTCTGTTTGTGTGTTGCTTTCATAGGGTAATGAATAAAGAACTGCCTTGGACTAGTTGATAGGGTGGAACTTAGGTAGGTCAAGAAGACAGAACTGAATTTTGGGAGAAAGAGAGCAGAGTCAGAGAACTACCATGGAGCAGCCAGAATCACACATGCTGAATCTTTCCCAGTAAGCCATGGCTTAGTGGTGATATACAGATTAATAGAAACGGGTTAAATCAAGATGTGAGAGTTGGCCAATAAGAGACTAGAGATAATGGGCCAGGCAGTGATTTAATTAATACAATTTCTGTGTGGTTATTTCAGGTGTAATCTAGCTGGGTGGCTGGGAAAATCAAAGGACCACACTCCTTTTGCAACAGTTATTGGTAGAAATATCCAAAGGCAATCATGCTATAGAGCAAGTGTGACTTCAACATATCCAGAGGAACATGAAGGATGATGGCATGTCAGAATAGTTCAGTGTTCTGCAAAAGCCTGAGACTGTAGGTTAGAGTATTGGTTATGAATGTGAATAATCTCAAACCTATTCTTAACTAACATGTACACACACTGGGTAAATAAATGAAAAGTAATTTAATGATATTTTTGTCAACGTACAAGATTTACACTTGTGTGGTAGCCCATTATGATATAAATATCACTTGCATTCTGAGAAACTGAAACTCTGCTCTTCAGCACAGGCAGAATTAAAAACACACATTCATGCCAAATAAGACTATGAGAGGAGTTTTGGTATAGTCTGATGTTGTTTAAGTGAACTTTAATGGTAAAATTCATGTTATATATTATTGAAAGATACTCCAAAAAGTTCAAGTCTCTTGAAATCCAGAAATAATTATATCACTATGCATTAATACAGTTTTCTCTTCTTTAGTGTTTTATTACAGAAAAACATGTAAATTGTGGTCAATTAGCAACATTTTATTTACAAAGAAGGAGGCAGGAAAACAGACACTCAGAAATATTATTTCTATGTAAGTCTCCAGGCTAATAGTCTCTGTCATCTCAGGCACAGGGTAACTTCCTGCTTCTCCAGAGTTTCTGACACACTCAGGATGTGGTTGCAACACTGTGCCTTGCACAGTAATACACTGCAGAGTCTTCAGATGCCAGGCTTCTCAGCTCCATGTAGGCTGTGCTGGAGGATGTGTCTGCAGTCAGTGTGGCCTTGCTCTGGAACTTCTGATTGTATTTAGTATTACCATTTTCAGGATCAATCATTGCAATCCACTCTAGGCCCTGACCATGTTTCTGCTTCACCCAGTCAATATAGTAATCAGTGAAGGTAAAGCCAGAGGTCCTGCAGGATACTTTCACTGAGTTCCCAGGCCTCACAAGCTCAGGCCCAGACTGCTGCAGCTGTACCTGGGAGTGGACACCTGTACAGAAAAGACAGTTTAGGAGTCATTGTCACCTCTGTCCCTGTTTCCTCTTCAGATTTGGAACTGGAATGGCCCTTTACCTGTAGTTAGTGACATGAGGAAGAGGGTGATCCAGCTCCACTCCATGGTAAGGACCTGTGTGCTCAGTGACTGTGGAGAGGATACAGATCATATGTTGTTCTGGGGTGTGGACATCTCTGTATTTACCTCCATAGACTCATGTGATTTGTATATTCATGAACAGTGTACCTCTTAAATAAGGACCTTGTACAGCTTTAGAACAAAGACGTAGAGGACCTTGGGTCAGGCAGCAGAATGCTAAATTCCAGATCTAATCATGTCTGAAGAAATGAAACCCATACTATATCCCCAAGCCCTGTGCAATCCTGTGGATGTAACATTAAGACATAAGCTGTCAATTTACAAAGACACTTAACCCAGAGACAGTTGTTCCTATGGTGACAAAAGATTTACAATTAGTAATTGTAAAAAGGATTTTGAAACTTGTAAATTATCAGAACTTCTAGTTTTTTCTCATATACATGAATTTGGCAAGTGTTTCTTGAGAAGACTATATACTAAAACACACAATTATGAAAAGTGAAAATGTCTCAGAAATTTTTGCACACAAATGTTATTGCAGAATTATCTACAGTAGATAAATTATAGATACAACTACATATCTTAGAACAAATTACTGTGTCAATAAACCATCATATATATGCTATAAAACATAATTTATTCATCAGTAATGAATAACTTTGAGGAAATGAATGTAATTGGAGATGACATCATTAAGTAATTTAAGACCCTCCAGAAACAGATATTGTCTGAATCCTATTGTCTTAGATATTGTATAGTTAGAAATAATTGTTTATGCACATATGTAAGGACACAGAACTGAAAATTCCCAATGGAACAAAAGTGGCAAATGGATATGAATGGGCAAGAAAAAGACAGATTGACTTTATAGGGGAAATACGTACAGTGTACATTATACATCTATGTGAAAATTCTAAACATATGGAATATTGGTATTTCAGAATGGCTTTATTCATCTCTTGCAATTTTTATTTATAAATGCAATACAGTTTGATCATATTTTTACCTACTATGTCCCTCTTGCTCCACTTATGATCTTCCAAAACAAAATGTCTTTCTTCTAACATACTGATCTCTTTTGTTTTATTTATGAATAACTCAGTAAGTCTAATGAACACTGTCTGCAAGATAATGTGGGCATATCCACTATCCGCCAAGTGGACACACTACTTTAAAATAAGTGATTCTAATTTCCTATGCATTCTTCCAATCCTAACATCTCCTCAGTTGTCAGTGATCCATGGGGAGTCCCTCCCCCACCTGTGTTGTAGTCTTCTAACATATACTTTGTTTAGTAGGGGGAGGGGGCAGGGTACGCATGTGCCAAGGAGTTAGAAGACAGCTTACAGAGTTCGGTTCTTTTCTTCTAAGAGGCGGCTTTCAGAAATCAAACATTGTCAGTTTGGCCAAGAGACACATTTACTTGCTTAGTCTTTCCATGGGCTTTCACTCTGTAAATTTAAGAGTTTTGATTTTGTGCAGGTCTTATGATGGCAACAACAGCTGCTAAGAGGTCATTTATGCAATGAGAACACTTCAATCTCTGTGGATAGAATTCCATGACTTCAACCTCATTCTCTGAACCTTGCATTCTTTATTTTTTCTGTTCCATGAAGATCCTTGATTTGGGGTAAGGAGGAGTTTGATAAAGAGGATTCAGTGTGGCTGGGAACTCAGTCATTCATTCTCATCACTTTGACCAGTGATGAATTTCTACAATGATCATTACACACTACACTCAGATACTTCCATGATCAAGACTGAAACCATCATTAATCTATTATATATAAACATATATATTTATAGGCAGTTGGACAGCATGACCATCAGCAATACAACTAGGGTCTACTTGGGCTATATCATTCCTAGTCATGAGTTTTTGAACATCTTTACCTGGGATGGTGTCTTTCCTGTGGAGCAGGTCACAAATCCAGTTAGAAAGCAGTTATTTAGAGTGTAACAAGAACCAATAGTTGGTACCTCTTACCTGGAGGCTGATAGAGTAGACTGCAAGGCCTTGTACTATGTGAGATTATTGATGTCTTTCTCTCCCTGCAAGCTTTACAACATCTTCTTGCAGTAAAAAACCAGCAGGTTATGTTCAGTTCAAGATTGGATTCTTTATGGTCTGCAACCAAGTCCTTAGTTCACCCATGAAATTATGATTAAAACAACTCCAATGATATATTATTATTACCTCAGTAATAACAACTGTAAATAAGAAAATAAAAGACAACAAATGCAGGCATTCATGTGGGGAAAGGGTAATCTACAGTCACGTCGACTTTGGCAATCAGTTTGCTGATAGCTTAAACTATGCCGTACCATAAAAGAACTTCTGGGGGTACTGTAGAGAAAAGTAATAAAAATGTCAATGTATTGATATAAAAACAGACAGATTGATCCTTGGAATTGAACTGAATGCCCAGAAGTAAATCCACAAACCTATAGACACTTGATTTTTGAGAAGAAAGAAAAATTATACAATGGAAAAAAGAATGCATCTTCAACAAATTGTGGTCTAAATATATGTCAGCATGTAGAAGAGTGCAAATAGGTCCATACCTATCATCCTGCACAAAACTCAAGGAAAATGGATTAAAGACCTCAACATAAAACTGGATACACTGATACTGATAGATGAGGAAGTGGGGAATAGCCTTGAACACATTGGCATAAAAGAAAATTTCCTGAACAGAGCATCAATTGTACAGGCAATAAGATCACTAATTGACAAATGGCACCCCGTGAAACTAAAAAGCTTCTGTAAGGTAAAGGAAATGATCAAAATAACTAAATGGCAGTTTATAGAGTGGTAAAGATCTTTACCCACCCCACATCAGACAGAGTGTTAACATTCAAATATATATAAAGAACTTAAGACTAGAGATAAAAAAACAAATAATTTCAGGTTCTGTCTATGACAAACAATGCTGCTATAAACATAGTGGAGCTCATGACTTAAATGCCACTCAACCGAAGAATGGAAAATGCGGTACATTTACACAATGAAGTACTGCACAGCGGGGGGAAAAAAAGACATGTTGAAGTTTGCAGGAAAATAAATGGAACTATAAAACATCATTTTGAGTAAGGTAACCCAGACCCAGAAAGACAATTATCACATGTATTCACTCATAAGTAGTTTTTAAACATAAAGCAAAGAAAACCAGCCCACAAATCACAATCCCAGGGAATCTAGACAACAATGAGGACCCTAAGAGAGACATACATAGATCTAATCTACATGAGGAGTAGAAAAAGAAAAGATCTCCTGAGTAAATTGGGAGCATGGTGACCTTGGTGAGGGTTGAAGGGGAGGGGAGAGCCAGAGAGGGAAGCAAAGAAAAATGTAGAGCTCAATAAAAAACAATAAAAAAGAAAAAAATAATATTAAATGGGGTATAGATCTAAACAGAGAATCTTCAACAGAAAAATGTCAAATGTTGGGGAAGCACTTGAAGAAATGTTCAACATGTTTAGCCATCATGACCAAGGAGGGGACACTGAGGCTGGCACTCAGAGGTCCCCAACACAAAATAAGTCTGAGATTCCTTACACCTGTCAGAATGACTAGCATTAAAACTTGTGCAGCCCGTCCCAGGCTGGCCCCGGATGTACTCGCTCATAATTGGTTTCTAGCCATAAATTAGGGCCACGGAGTCTACAATAGGTGAACCTAAAGAAGCTAAGTAAGAAGGTGAACCCAAGGAAAAACATATAGTTATCCTCTTGGCTAAGGGAAGTAGACCCAATTGCCAGGGAGAAAATTAGGATCTTGGGGGTGGGGTGGGATGGGGGTAAGGGGAGATGGGGAGAGAAAAGGTAGAAGGGAAGGAGGGGGGATTTGGGGAATCAGGAGAATTGGGATAAAGGAAAGGTGGATAGGGGAGCACGGAACCACAATTCTTAGTTAAGGGAACCACTTTAGGGTGAGCAAGAGATTTGACCCTAGAGGGGCTCCCAAGTGCCCAACATGAGGTTCCCAGTTAGTTCCTTGGGTAGCTGAGGATTGGGAACCTGAAATGACCCTATCCGAGAGCAATACTGACGAATATCTTGCATATCATCATAGAACCTTCATCTGGTGATGGATGGAGACAGAGACAGAGACCCACACTGGAGCACTGGACTGAGCTCCCAAGGTCCCAATGAGGAGCAGAAGGAGGGAGAACATGAGCAAAGAAGTCGGGACCACGAGGCGTGCACCCACCCACTGAGACAGTGGAGCTGATCTACTGGGAGCTCACCAAGGCCAGCTGGACTGTGACCGAAAAAGCATGGGATAAAACCGGACTCTCTGAACATGGCGAACAATGAGGGCTGATGAGACGCCAAGGACAATGGCACGGGGTTTTGATCCTACTTAATGTGCTGGCTTTGTGGAAGCCTAGCCAGTTTGGATGTTCACCTTCCTAGATATGGACGGAGGGGGGAGGACCTAGGACTTACCACAGGGCAGGGAACCTGGACTGCTCTGTGGACTGGAGAGGGAGGGGGAGAGGAGTGGGGGGAGGGGTAGAAGGGTGGGAGGAGGGGGAGAAGGGTGGGAGGAGGGGGAGGGAAATGGGAGGCTGGGAGGAGGTGGAAACTTGTTTTTTGTTTATGTTTTTTTTTCTTCTTTTCTTAATAAAAAAATTATTAAAAAAAAAAAACTTGTGCAGCCGTGTTGAAAATCAATATGTCAGTTTCTCGGAAATGGGGAACTTCTACCTCAAGATCTTGTTAAGCCTGGTCCTGGGAACACAATTACCTGCTCCTATGTGTTCCTGCTGAAAATAGGTAGAGGATGAGAAAACTGCAGTTTATGCTGAGAACTTGTGTGCTCAGTGACAGTGAACAAGAGAATATTATTGTGGTACTGTGGGGTAGGAGGACATCACTGTATCTACAAACATAATTTCTGAATTTTACACATGAATGAGGAAGAGTATTCCTTAGATCAAAGCAGGAACCTGTTTGACATAGAAAGGTAAAGGTTTCCTGAGTTAGTCAGTGGGATAGTGAGTTCCAAGTCCTAAACCTGTCTGGGGAAAACCATTCCTAGTTCCATTATTGCACCTTTGCAGACAGAGCTCTCCCATCCCACTGAAAACAATATCACTACATTCATGTTTGTTAATGTGACCCACATGTCAATGGTTCATGGGGCATCTGATCCTCCTCAGAGTCAACCATAAGAATGATTCTGTGAACATGCCTTGACCATCCTGCCCTCATCAGACATTAGCATAGACCACTGGAGACTGCAGTAGTCCATTCATTACCAGTGGTCTGTAGACACACAGGAGGTATCAGCTCTGTATTTTTGAGACAGTTTCCCCCAAAATATTTCCCATGATCATGAGCCCAAAATATTCTTAACCTATAATAATGAGTGGTTCATGACCTAGTTTCCTATCCAGTAGCAATAGGCAAATTCCAATTTGGCTCATATATTATAATTTGACCTCATGTATTGATTGTATTAAACAAAGAAGTTCTCAAGTATTGAGACAGCACAGGGATCTCACATCTCAACTACTCCCCAATCTCTGAATGTAATGATGTTGTCAATGGAATCCACAGAGGAAATCAGTCAGTGCACAACTTTCTAATTTGCTTCTGCTCTTTTATTTCCCAGGCATTGGTGAATGAATCTACAGTGCCACCTGCTGGTTTGGAAAATCAGCTATTACAAGTTTGTGTATGAGCTCACATAGTGCCCAAACTATAACTCTCACATCTGTCTTCAGTGTCCTAAAGTGAGGTTGAGTAGATAATTCAAGGATGAACGGTGAGCTGTGCATAACTGTTTTCCACTCCTCCAAGAAAATCAGTCTTTTCTTTAGGTTTTATGGGATCTATCTGTAGCAGCCACCTTTGATGATGAAGTTGATACACAGCTCAATTGATGGAGGGAGTCTACAAGCACTCCACCTTGGCAAAATCCAAATATACTATACAACAACGGTGACCACCAGGTATCCAATGGCCTGTGAGAGTAGATGCTGTATCAGTATAGGTTCACGTTCTGTTAAGAATTGAGACTGTAGGACAGGTTTCTGAAAACATGAAGAAAGTAAACATGGGACTATGGAATAATGTATGATTTCAGAAACTAACTCAATTAGCAAGTACATATATTTATTGGCTTAATGATTTTTGAGGAAAGTGCTTTAGTAACACCAACTTACAGGAATTACACTTATGTGGCTGTGCATTTTTATCCATAGTTTACATTCTAAGACACTGGATTCTGTACGACCACAAAGCCAGACTTAACTATATACCTGAGGTTAAGTAACATTTAAGAGCATGAAAATATTTTTGTTTAGCCAGACTTTATTTACTTACCTCTTACCTGTCAAATTCAAATTTTCATTTATTGAAAGCTACCCTGAGCAGTCTATAATAATCCAGAATTGTTTTTTATAAAGCATAATCACACCTTTCAGTTTTTATTCTTTTATTAGGGAACATACTTGTCAATGGAGATGGTCATTGTTGAAGAAACTGTCACAGTATGATGTACACAAGGGCTTCTTCAATGAGCATTATATTATTTATGTGTGTAATATGAAAAAAACGAAAAACTATAGTACTGTGATAAGTCAGAAAATAGACACTCAGATGACTATTTATGAGCAAGTCTCCAGTCTAATATTCTCTGTCATCTCAGACTCAGGGCAGCTTCCTACTCCTCCAGGGTTTCTGACACACTCAGAATGTGGTTGCAATACTGTGTCTCGCATAGTAATAGACTGCTGACTCATCATATGTCAGGCTGCTGATCTCCACATAGACTGTGCTGGAGGATTTGTCTGCCGTCAGTGTGGCCTTGCCCTGGAACTTCTGATTGTAGTCAGTTCCACCATTTCCAGGATAAATATGTCCAGTCCACTCCAGGCCCTCTCCAGTCCTTTGCTTCATCCAGTTAATATAGTAGCTGGTAAAAGTGCAGTCTGAAGCCTTGCTGGACAACTTCACTGAGGTCACAGGCCTTACCAGCTCAGCCCCAGACTGCTGCAGCTGGACTTGAAAATGGTCACCTGTGGAGACAAAGGCAGAGTGTCCTTGTCACCTGAGTGCATGGACTCTTCTCAAGTCTGGAATTGGAGATCCCCCTACCTGTAGCTGTTGCCACTAGCAAGAGGATAATCCATCTCCATTCCATGGAGAGGACATGTGTGCACAATGACAGTGGAGAATATACTGATCATGTGTTGTTCTAGGGTGTGCATATCCCTGTATTTACCACCATAGATAAACATGTTTTGCATATTTAAGAGAGAGGGTACTTCTTAGGTAAAGACCTCTTTCATCTTGAGAAAAAATATTTATAGGACCTTTAGTCAGGCAGCAGGATGATAACTTACAAAGTCCTAATCCTGTCTGAGAAAATGCATCTCATACTATTTCCTCAAGTGCAGACTATATCTTGTGGATTTAACATTATGACCTATGCTCTCAACTCACAAAGATATTTCAAACAGAGATATTTCCTCCTGTGGGTGAAAAAAAAGATTTATTTAAGATGGCTATGGTGCTAAAAATATTAAAACTCCTAAATTACAGCAATTTTCACTTTTCTTTCATATACATGAAGTGATTAAAAGCATTTCTAGCAGTTTGCATGCTAAAAAAAACTTACCCAAATGACCAAAACTAAAAACGTCTCAGAAATACTTGCACACAAATATTACTAGAATATTATCTATAATAGATAAATTATAGAAACAAATTATATGTCTTTCTACAAATGATTGCATCAAGAAAAATATGTTATATATACAATATACCAGAAATGTATTACGAACTTACTTTTAGGAAAATGAATGCAATTGGTGAGAATATTATTAAGTAAACTAAGACCATCTCAGAAACAGATATTGTATGAGATTCTCATTTGTATTCTTTAGATTTAGCATAGTGAGAAATGATTATGTCTGTATATATGTAATGATATAGAACTGAAAGTGTCTAATAAAAAAAAAGTGGCAAATTGGAATGAGAGGAGGAAGAAAAGGATAAATGATAGATGGAGTCTATGGGTAAATATGTTCAGTACACATTACAATCCCCAGTATGTCTCTCTTGCTCTGCTTATGACCTCTCTCCAAACATAATGATCTCTTTAGATTTATTAATGAATAACTAAGTCTAATAAATTAATTACATTAATTAATGTTATACACATGGATAGGGTGGGGGTCATACACTAGATTAGTAACCTCTAAGTGGCCTACCTCTAATTTAAGTGATACCCACTTCCTAAGCAGTAATGCTATCCCAACAGCTCCTCATTTTGGAGTGTTCCATGGGAAGTCCTGTGTTGTAATCTTTTAAAGACACTTCATTTAATAGTGGGGCATGGCACACATGTGGGGAAAACATATCAGGCAACTTATGTAGTTCAGATCTCCTCTCCTAAGATGTGGCTCTCAGAAATCAAACTAATATTGCTAGACTGGTCAAGAGGCACTTTTACCTGTTCAGTCTTTTCAGACATTTTCATGCTGTAATTTTGACTGACATGATTTTGTGAAGGTCATGTTCTGGTAAGCTAAGAGTTCATTTAAGCAATGAGAATATGTTATACCTGTAGATAAAATTTCATGTCTTTCAAACTCATATTCTGAATCTTAAATTCTTTCTTTTCCCAGTTTAATGATGGTCCTTAATTTCTGGGTAGGCTGTGATATCAAGGATGATATCAGTAACTTTTCTATAGCTCAGTACATGGTCACACATTTTCAGCAATTTGACCAGTTGTGAATGTCTGCATTGATCATCACACATCACATAGAAACATCTGTGATCAAAGCTGAGAGCAACACTAATTTATATAAGCATAAGTTTATACAGTTTAGTATATAGAATGGGTATAAACCTAAGTATTTATTAGGTAGTTTGACAATATGACCATTACCAGTATAACTAGAATCTATTAGGGCTATGTCAATCCTATTAAAAAATTTTAAAGCATGTTTTTATGGGATCAAGTATTTCCTTTGGAACAGGCCACAGAAACAATTAGAAAACAGTTGGTCACCATGTAAAAGTCAGGCACTGGTGGGTACATCCTGCCTGGAAGGAAATATTGTAGGCAGCAAAGCCTGGCACTGTATAATATCATTGATGCCTTTTCTCTCACAGCAGACTGCATAGAACCTCTTACACAAGCAAATCATGCCAGAAGAAAGACTTTTGTCTTAAGTTCAAAGATGGTTGCTCCATGTAGTCCACAAAGGTTCTTACCTATCAAGGAAATGCAGATTAAAATAATTTTAAGCTTTCATTTTACCCCAGTTAGAATAACCACAATGAAGAACTCAAATACAGGCTTGGATATGGGGAAGGGTAATTATTATTCTTTTATGATGGGAATATAAACTAGCACAGTTTCTTGGGAAATAATTGTGGAGATTTCTTCAAAAGATAAGAAATAAAACTGTGATATAGACCAGCTATATCCCTTCTAAGCTTATACTCAAATAGCTCTACATATTATTACACAGGTACTTGCACATCCATGTTCATTGCTGCTGTATTGACAATAATTGAGAAAATGGAAACAACATAGACGTTCAACAACAAATAGATCAAATTTGAGGCATATAGACAATGGAATTCTACTTAATGGCAAAACATTAATAATGGAAACAACAGGCAAGTGGATAGAATTATAAAAGATATTTAATTGGAAAATTATATTGAATGAGATCACCCAAATAAAAAGAGACAAATGCTTCATATTCTATCTCATATATGGTTCCAAGATTAGAATGTATTGCTTTCTGTGTTTAATTTCTAAAAGACTAGGAAAGATCTAGTAGGGTTTCTGGTATTAAGGGATGGGATACAATTAAATACAGATAAATTAAAAGAGATGGAAACAACTACTAGAGACACAGGGATTCAAACATTAAGTGGTATTGGAAAATAGAGAAGTGATGGTTTGGGGTAGGGTTAAAAATTTAACAGTTATAAGAAAGCAATATTGAAATCTAGAATCTTGCAATGTAAGTAAGAGATTATTATAAAGAACTTAGAATGTATGTGGCATCACAAAAATAAATGTTCAAGATATTGGAAGGAAAGAAAGCAATGTGTGGAATGAAAAGGTATTGTGATGTTATTTCTATAATTAAAAGTCTGGAAATAATGAACAGTTCATAGTTGTCTAGTTTTATGTTGGGGATATTTTTCATGTTGATGGAATAATTTAGTGCTCAGATTACGGAGTGGTTTTATGGATCTGCTGTTACTCTATTTTTATCAAATTTGGAAAACAAATAAAATTCCATGACAAATTGGAGATATGCTGATAATACTTGTAGTTTACTTATTACTACCGTAACAGTGATCTGGTTCTGATTAAGTTCTATGGTTCTGTGAGATATACACAGGCAGAAAGCTAAACAGAAAGTATGTGAATGGTTTTACATCTTATTTTCATTACTCAATCCTTGAACACAGTAGCTGAGTGGTTGAACAGTTTTCCTCATCAAAGACACAACGTATTGACCATCTCACCATTGAGTACTTGACATCTTTCTATGAGTTAATGATGAGAGAGATCCCATGCATGCTGAAAACCATATGTGGTGCTGACATTGCTTTTGGTTGGACACACACAAAAAAACTTTAGACCTTATTTGTAAGAAGAATTTAAAATATGAAAAAATTGAGAGTCATATGTGTAATTGACTCTAAGGAAAAGAGTGTCTTCCAGACACAATAGAAATGATGCACATAAGAATACAGAGAGTCTGTGACATCATGGACAGGGCCTGCACAGGGTAAAGTCCTGGGCTTAATATACTTTTGCTTATACACTATGTTTTCTAATCATGTATTTTTATGTTTGCTTTCTTTTAACATCTGTGTGGGTGTGTTACTTATGATGTAAAAAAAATCTCTTTTTTGTCTATTTATAGAAAGAAAATGTCAGGGCATCTTAGTTTCTCGTTTCTGGCTAATATTAATAATGCTGTTATAAACATAGATAAGCACACGCCCTTGGGGTATGGGCATGTCAGAGAGTAAACTCAAGAAAGGAAACAGAGGACTCACAGTAGCAACCACAACAACCTCATCTCTGTACTACACTTTCTTTGCTCTGTTGTGCCCCGTGCTGATCCTGAATACCCTGCAGGTTCATTTGTCATGGCTTACATTGAAGTTGCACAGTCTAGATGGAGCATGGACATATCCCTGAAACTTCAGTGCTCACAAATATTATGCACAGAAAAAAAGCAATTTGTTTATCTGGAGATGCTGATTGGATGTTTCAGAGATTGACTTTAAGTTATCCCTACATTATCATCAATGTCCCGCTCAATTCCAGGCTCTTCCCTAGTGGCAGCTGGATTCAGCTCTTGCAGTATGCAGTTGAAAGTTGGTGTCACATGGAGAGAACAGGGTATGAATTGCCTTATCAAGCTACACCTGAGGAAGAGCACTTGATGTCAGAATTGAATCCTTTTTGGTAATGGATATTTCTCTGCATACAGATTTATCTATCCCTCTATAACTTTCCAAGTCCAGGGACCTTCAATTCCTGGACAGAGCATGTGTTAGTAAAGCTTTTAAGGAGTTACATGTTTCCAAAGAGTGGTTATACATATTAAAACAAAAATATGTGCTACAGAAAGTAAGGCTATTCTTGCATTTTGTACATGAAATTTGGGATTATGTTTTGTATCATATAATTTTTCAAGAGAGAAGCAGCTGAGACCCATCAGATGCATTGTTTCTCCTCTTTCACTAGTCAGAACTGATACAATTTCTTGTAGATTGTCACCTCAGAGGGAAACAATCTCAGGGAAATAAAAACACTTCCCATTATAGAGGAACAAATCTCCCTAATGTTTAGAGTTCTGAATGGGCTTATCTTGGCATTCCTAAAATCTATGCTTCTGGGCAATGTGTACAAGGAGCACTTCATACTCCAGTGTGAGAAGATGCAGATGACTATCATGGGCATCAATGTAGAAGAGTGGTGTCATAGGTCCTTCTGTCTCTGTATTTTTTTCATTCATTAAAATAAAGAACTTCTGTGGACCTATAACAGAGAAGAATTGAAGTAAGCAGGGAAAGCTAGGCTGAATGCTGGGAAGAAAATGGGCAAAGTCAGGGAGATGCCATGGAACCACCATTAGGGATAGAGGTGCTGAACATTTGTTGGTAGGTCACGATCTAGTGGTGATGCACAGATTAATGGAGATGAGTTAAACTAAGATGTAAGAGTCAGCCAATAAGTAGCTATAGATAATGCATCAGGCTGTGATTTAATGAATACAGTTTCTCTGTGATTAATTCGGGTCTAAGATAGACAGTTAGCCAGGAACCAAGAAGCAGCCTCAGCCTACAAATTGGTGTGCCAACATGGTGCACTAAATCCATGTAAAACCTTATAGGCATTGAAAAGGAATTCTAGACATAAAAATACAGAGTTTAATACAGCTTCTTGCTGTTTGCTGGTGGCATTCCACAGCTACTTTAAGAGAGGTTTTCCTGATTCAGTCATAGCAGAAAAAAAGCCACAGTGTTTTGAAATGCTGGCTTTCTGGGCCATCCTACCAGCACAATCTCTGACTCTTTCAGGCAGTAGGTCCAGCTGCAATGCATTTGGATGGGGTTTGTGAGCAGAATGCTGCAGCTTGCTTAATGGCTACATGGAATGACTCTGTGCCTCAGAATGGGGATGTGGCATGGCTCAGAGTTTCAAGAGGCTCCACCATGCTGGACTGTGCTGGTAAACTGTCAGTTAGTTAGATATTCTTCAAAACTTTCAGAGAACTTCAGAATATAGCATTTAATGTACTTAAAAACTTAGGACTTTTCATGACAATGAGATATATCTGCTCCTGGAATCACCAGTTACTTCAAGAGGAAGCTAGGCATTGAAGAGTCTCCTTATGGAGTTGGATAGCCATTTGAGCTAAAAACTGCCTTTGTCCAGACTGCTTAACTGTCCATGCAGGACCCACAGACAAATGACTGCTGAACTTGCCTAAAGGTGAGATGGTCATTCAAAGTTCCTGCTACATGAAAGAATCTACCAGACATTTTGCAGGACACAAAAGAAAATGACTGGCAAACTGCCATTATAGACAGGACTGTCTTTGAAATTTCCTGCTTCGTGGAAAAATCTGCTGGATATTATGGACCTGTATGCTGAAGACGAATAACCCAAGAGTACAAAAGAACTTTGGGTGATTTTCCAGGCAAAAGAAGTCTCTGTCAATTCTAGAGTTTTAGAAGTTGCTTACAATGCACTTTCTGTTTCCACAGTTGTGGAAATCATGCTATTGTCATTTCAGTCTCTGATTTCTGGCTCAAGCCTGGATCTAGGAATTCACTCATCTATAGCTGCTGCCATCAAATAGAGAATGATCCAACAGCAGTCCACACTGAAAAACTGTGTTCTCAGGGACAGTGAACAAGAGAGTAAAAATGTGGTGCAGTGGAGTAGGTGAACATCACTATATATATAAACATAATCTCTGCAATTTACACATGAATGAGAAAGGGAATTCTTTAGATGATAACAGTAATCTGATTGAGACAGACCAGGAAAAATCTCTCTGTGTTAGTCAGTGGGTGGTGAGTTTCAAGTTGTAAATCTGTCTGGGGAAATGAATTCTCAGTTCCACATAGGCATCTGTGCAGAAAGAGCTCTTCCATTCAACTGAGAACAATATCAATACATCCAGGCTTGTTAATGTGACACTAATGTCAATGGTTCATGGGCCATCTGATCATTCTCAGAATCAACCATAAAGGTGATGCTAAGAAGGTGCATTGAACATCCTGCCCCCATCGAACACAAGGACACTAATCATCTCTGTGTACAATATTCTTATTGATTTGTCTTTTAAATCAATCTTTTCTCATTTTGTGTACCAATTCCCGTTCCTTCTCCCTCCCTCCTCCTGCTTCCCCCTCCTTCCATCTGTCCCATTCTGCACCCACTCCTCAGAGAGTGTAAGGTTTTCTTTAGGTAATCAACAAAGTCTTGCACATCATTTTGAGTCAGGAATAAGGCCTTCTCCCCATATTTAGGCTGAGAAATTTATGTCTTATGTTGCCATTTTCTTCTTAGGAATTGGTGGATCTACATTGTCATCTGCAGATTTGAAGAGTTGACTAAGATAAGTATGCCAATGGGTGCACATTGCTGTAACTATGGCTCTCACATCTTTCCTTATTGTCTCAGGTGATATTAAGTAGATGTTTCAGTGATGAATGGTGAGCTCTGGGTTGATTCCCACATCTCCATGAAACCCATTCTTTAGTGTTGTTAACTTATGGATGGTGACTACAAGTACTCTTGTCAAGTCAGGCAAAAATCCAAACACTCTGTAGAATAAAGGTAGCCACCAAGTATCCAATGGCCTGTGAATTCTAATAAGGTAGCACTCTAGATCCATGTTCTATAAATGCTTAAGAGTGTGGGTCAGTTTTGAGAAACTGGGAAGGGTGTAATTATGGGACAATAGAATAATTTGTGATCTCAGAACCTACCTCAAATAACATGTACATTGATTTGATTAATGATTTTTGTGAAAAGTAATTTGATAATATTCTTGACCATCTTAAAGAAATTATACTTGTGTGGCAGTGCATATTGATACATATCTCATAATATAAGAAACTGGAACTTCTGTTGGACCATAAAGTCAGAGTTAACTCAACACCAGAGAGGTTATGTGACATTTAAGACTATGAAAACATTTTTGTCTACCAAGATGTTAATATGTGGGCTTTACTGGTCATATTCATATTTCAGTTGATTAAAAGCTACTCCAAAAAGTCCTACCGTTTTAGAATCCAGAGATTTGAATCATAATGAATAATCACAGTTTTCAATTTTTAGTACATTATTAAAGAAGAAACATAGCAATATAGATGGTTAGTGGTGAACATATTGCCAAGGCATGGTGTGTACTAGGGCATCCAAAATCAGCATCACTGTAATTACAGTTGTAAGTTTGAAAGGTCTGTAAATCCCCTATGAAACTGTGTAAAGTGACAGACAAAGGGATACCCAGGATAACTATTTCTTGAAAGTCTTCAAACCAATATTTTCTGTCATTGCAGTTCAAGGGCAACTTCCTGTTTCTCCACTGTTTCTGACGTGCTCAGGATGTGGTTTCAACACTGACTTCAGAGTCTTCAGATGTCAGCCTGCTTAGCTCCATATAGGCTGTGCTGGAAGATTTGTCTGCAGACAGTGTAGCCTTGCCCTGTAACTTCTGAGAATAGTCAGTATTACCACTTATAGAATAAATCCTTCCAATCCACTCCAGTCCTTGACCAGGCCTCTGCTTCACCCAGTTTATAGTATAGCCAGTGAAGGTGTAGCCTGAAGCCTTGCAGGACAGCTTCACTGAGAACCCTGGTTTCCCTAGCTCAGCTTCAGACTGCAGCAGCTGGACCTGGGATTCTATACCTGCAGAGACAAAGACAGAGTAGGTATTATTGTTACCTCAGTCCTGTTCCTTATTAGGAATTTAAACTTTGAAAGGCTATTACCTGTAGTTACTGACATAAGAAAGAGAATGATCCATTTCCAATTCATGGTGAGGACATTGTGTGTTCAGTGACTGTGGAGAGGATACTGGCCTTATTGTCCAGGCTTGTGAACATCAGTGTATTTACAACAGTAGACACTAGTAATTTACATATTCATGAGCATGGAAATATTTAGAGAAGAACCTAGTCCAGCTAGAAAAGAAGGAGGTAGAATAGACATGGGTCAGTGAGCAGTATGTTGAGATCCATGTAATAAACCCACTGAGGAAATGCATCTCATACACCTTCCCTAAGTCATGGGCAGACCCTATGGATGTAACATCAGGGCTTACATTTTCAATTGATTTGTGTCCTGAGGTATTTGCTCCACTTGGTGACAGGTATTCAGATGGATTTACAAAAGGTGGTTGTGATCATGATGGTGACGGAAAATTTCACAACCTAATAATTATGAGATTTTTTACAATCTCCTTTCAATACTGATAACTGTTTCCTTTACAGCAGGTTTTATACTTAAAACTGACTGAAATGACCAAAGGTAAATATACTTCAGAAATATTGTTATTTTTATTATGTTAACTATTGTTGTTAAAATATTCAGAATTCAATGTTCATTGCAGCAATATCTACAATGACTAAATTACGAAAATAAAGAACATGTCTGTCAACATGACTGTATCAAGAAGATATTGTTATATGCATAACACAGCAGAAGCTTTTCATCTGGAAAAAATAAGGAACTTATATCACTATTAAAATGGGTGTAACTGGAGATAACCATATTAACTAAAATATCTCTGAAACACAGATATTATGACCATCACACAGTGATACAGTTAGTATTATCTATATACACATAAGTGTGTCATTCACTAGTACAAAGGGAACTTCCAAAGAAACCTTGCATAGAAAATGATTATATTTTACTCATCAGGTACCAATGACAATAAATGCAAAGCTTGGTTTGTGTCCTCAGGAGTCCCTGGTCATCTGTGTTGTAATGTTTTATTAAATATTATCCTATCTTTAGTGGTGATAACAAGACATACATGGCCAAAGGGGTATGTGTGATCATCACAGGACAACTTATGAAATTCAGCTCTTATATTCTACCATGTGGACCCAATGGGCTGGGCAATATTGCTAAGCTTGCTGGTAGGCACCTTTACCTGCTGATATTTCATACTGTTATTATAACTGGCTGGATTTTTTTGAATGTCTGTTGGTAACTATAGCTGCTGTGACTTCATGTCTACAATCACTATTTCAAGCCCTGAAGATAATATTTCTTGTCTATCTACCTTTTATTCTGAGTATATGTATTCTTAAATTCTTCATAGTCCCTCTTTTGTGATCATCCTTGAGCTTTGAACAGGAGGTTGATACAGATGTTTCTGCTTTGGTTGGGTACACAGTCATTCATGCTCATCATTTTCACCAATTATGAAAATCTGCATTAATCATTACACCGCACACAGAGGCTTCTGTGATCAGGGCTAAAAGCAGCATTACTCTATTGGCTGTAAGCATAGGTATTTATGAGGCAGTTTCACAATATGACCATTAGCAATACAACTACAGTTACTAGGGCTATGTCATCCATAGTCGTGGACTTTTGAACATGCATATTGGGACAAATATTGCCTATGTCGCAAGTCACAAATACAATTAGAAAGCATATGATCAGTACATAAAAGACAGACACTAGTGGGTGTATCTCCCTAGGCTGATCTTATGCACTAGAAGCTCTGGTACTGTGTATCATCACTGAATTTTTTTTTCTCACTGCAGGCTGCATATCATCCTGCACTAGGAAACCTAGCCAGCAGGGAGAATTACCTGTTCAGTTCAAGGTTGGTTTCTCTATGTTTTGCAATCAAAGTCTTTAGTTAACAGTGAAAAGTACATTAAAACAACTTCGATGCTATATTTTTTATCTCAGTAAGAATTACCATAAGCAAGAAAAAAATTGCAACAAATGCAGGCATGGATGCAAAAGAGGTAATTCTTACTCACCGAGAAGAGGAGTATAAACTAGTGTAGTGACTGAAAACAATTTTGGTATTTCCACTAAAATTAGTATATAAAACTATACTGAGCCCAAGTCATGGGTTCTTTAAGCATGCATTCAATAATGCTACATCTTATAGAGACACTCACATACCCATATTCACTGCTTCTCAATTAACAGAGGCTAGGAAATGGAATCAACCTATTTTCCAAAAAAAAGATGAATAGATAACAAAAAATGTGGAATACTAAGGTAATGGAATATTAATGACTGCTAAATGTGAATAATCAAATCTATAGGTAAATGGATGAAACCGAAGATAATATGACAAGTGAGGACACCCAGATCTAAAAAGACAAATGTTTATATTCTTTCTTATAACTGATTCCTAGACTTGAGTATTATGCTTTGTGGGTTTAATTTGTAGAAACCAAGAGAGTAGAAATGGGACCCTATAATCTGAGGAATTAAGGTGGAGGATATAGTAAAATACAGATTAATGAAAGCAGATAAGGAATACATGAGATAGGAATTTTCAAACATAAAGTCATGCTCAATAGAGAATAAAGGACATTTCTGAAGGATAAACTAAAATTAAGTATTATAAAAACTATATTTAACACTAGGATCATGAAGCGTACGTAAAAAATAAAACTGTAGAGGTCATAGAAAGAATGTGGGATGAAAAACAGAGCCAGGTTATAGGGAGCAACGAACTCTGTAGATGCACTAAATTACAATGCTTTTCTATAACAAAATGTTTGGAAATAGCAAGCAATTCATAAATGTCTATTTTTATTTGGTATTTTATTTGAGTTGTTGGAATAATTTTGTGTTAAGATTATGATTTGGTTTTATGTATCTGCTGATACAATATTTTAAGAAAAAATAAATTAAAGAAAGGGGCATGCAAAATTAGAGATGTCTAGTCAAGAATTGTAGTTTAGTAATGTCTTGTCTATATCTGATCATGCTCTATGTTAATGTGACATATATGCTTCCAGAAAACTGAGGAGAGAGCACCTGCATGAGTTTTGTACTTTCTTTTAACTTGTTATTCTTTGAACAGAGGTTACCTCAAGAGGGACAGTGTTTTCCCCACAAACAGGAGATATTAATTGTAATCCTTAGTACCAGGCACAGGATAATCCCATAAAATTGATGGGAGACCCCTTACCAGATACTGAAAACACTATGAAGTATTGGTAGGGCTCTTGGTTGACCAGAACAAATCCACAGTTTGACCTTATTACTGAGAAGAAACTTAATATCTCAACAGATTGTAAGAGCCAAAAGGCTAGATGACTCCAAGGAAAAAGTGTCTTCCAGACATAACAGGATATATTAGTATTCTACTGTGGAGTAGCATTGGGCATATTAATCACACTTAAGGTTAGACACATGCTCAGCAGGAGAACACAATACAGAATTAACTCAGTGATGTTTTTGTAGATATTTTATTACATAGCATTTTTTGTTCATTGATTTATTTTTTTTTTATTTTTCGAGACAGAGTTTCTCCGTAGCTTTTGGTTCCTGTCCTGGAACTTGCTCTTGTAAGACCAGGCTGGCCTCGAACTCACAGAGATCCACCTGCCTCTGCCTCCCGAGTGCTGGGATTAAAGGCATGCGCCACCACCGCCCGGCTTTGTTTTTTTTTTTTTATACTTATTGGTTTTGTGTATGTATTGCACTTCCAGAATTGTATTATTATGGGGTTTGTATGTGTATCTCTTGATAGTTTGTTTGTTTTAATGCCTTTTAAAGTTCTTGTTTTCCTATTTCTTTGCTTTCTACTGAGAGAAAGAATGAGGGTAGAGTTGATGCGGGACAATTCTGTATTTTGTCAGTTATGTTTTAAATAAATGATGATTGGCCAGTAGCTAGGCAGGAAGTATAAGTGGAAAGTGGAACAACCAGACAGGAAGTAGAGGTGGGGCAATGAGAACAGGAGAATTCTGGAAAGCCCATTCCCCGGCTGTCCTGTCTACACACCAAAATAGCAGGGTGTGACCTGTCCTGCTGAAAAAGGAACTGAGTCATGGGATTAACATAGATAAGAATAATGAGTTAATACAAGATATAAGAGCTAATATGAAGCCTGAGATAGTGGGCCAATCAGTTTATATGTTATGTAGACCTCTGTGTGATTTAATTTGGGACATACCAGCTGTGGGAACTGGGAAAAACAGAAACCCCAAAAAGCAGGCCCTCATGTCACATAGAGTTGGGAAGGTAAGGATGGACGCAGTAATCTGGAGACCTTGTTGTGGGGGAAAATCAATGATCAGAATATACTACATGAATTTTTTAAATAAACTATAAAAAGTAAATATAAATAATAAAATGAAAAAGAAACCATAAACTGTGAAGACTTAGCAAAGATTCTTTCTGTGCTTGAGCATGGAAATATCAATAGCAGCAGGTGCAGGTCAGCTAGTAAACTTCAGGAAAGAAACCACAGAGATATAGAGTCCTCTACACTCCAACCACATCTCTGTACTATGCATTCTTGGCTCCACGGTGTCCCCTGTTAGTCCTGAACTCCCCTGAACACTGGTTTGTTATGGCTTTAACTGAAGTGGCACAGTCTGAATGGTGCACTAACACAATCCTGAAACTTCATTGCTCACAGTGCTCAGAATCAAGAGTAACATCAATTGTTAATATGGAGAGGTTGACTGTATGCTTCAGAGTTTGAATTTTAAGGTGTCCCTATATAAATACCAATGTCCTTTCAATTCCAGGTTTATCTCTGGTGGCAGCCGGTTTTAGCCATAACAGTACCCAAGTAAAAGCAGGTGACACAAGAAGAGAATGGGATATTTCTTGCCTTCATCAGGATATACCTGGGGCAGAGCACCAGAAGTCAGAAGCACAATGTGTCTTGACATCAAATGCAGCCCCTAGCGCCTCCATGAATGAATTCTTGGAACACTCAAATACAGGAGTCAGCTGAAAAATGAGGGACCACTGTGATGATCACATTAGAAAAATATATTCACATTGAGAAGGAGATAGAAACCAAGGGAAAG